TGGTATGCTGACATTGTGAACTATTTGTGTTGTGGTAAACTGCGGCCTAATCTCTCTTCCCAAGAGAGAAAGCATTTTATTGCTGTGTGTAGGGACTACTTCTGGGACGAGCCATTTCTTTTTAAGATGGAAAAGGATGAGGTGCTTCGAAGATGTGTTCCAGAAGAGGAGCAAGCTGATGTCCTCGCATTCTGTCATGCGTTCCATTGTGGAGGCCACTTTGGCGGTCAGAAAACCGCCTTTAAGGTATTACAGTCAGGTTTGTTTTGGCCATCCCTTTTTAAAGACGCCCATACTTTTTGCTGTTCTTGTGATCAATGAAAAGGACTTGGAATAGAGGTCCCAGAAATGAAATGCCCTTGACTAACAACCTTCAAGTCGAAATTTTTGATGTTTGGGGCATCGATTTTATGGGACCGTTTCCTAAGTCTAATGGCTACGAGTACATTTTGCTTGCTGCAGATTAAGTGTCTAAGTGGGTTGAGGCCATCCCCACGAAGACATGTGATGCTAACATTGTTATTAAGTTTGTGCAATGGTATATATTGAGTAGGTTTGGGTTCCCAAGAGCAATAGTGAGTGATGGAGGGAAGCGCTTCTGCAACAAGCTCTTTGAGAAGCTGATGAAAAAGTACTGCATATCACACAAAGTGGCTACTCCATATCACCCACAAACTTCGGGCCAGGCTGAGACAAGTAATAAGCAGATCAAGACCATCTTACAAAAGACGGTCAACTCATCAAGGAAGGATTGGTCGAGCCGGCTAGACAATGCATTGTGGGCCCAACGTACAACGTACAAAGGCATTTTGGGCATGAGTCCATTCAGATTAGTCTATGGGAAGGCTTGTCATCTACCAGTTGAGATTGAGCATAAGGCCTTGTGGGCGATTAAGAAGGCGAATTTTGATCTAGATGCAGCCGAAAAAGCTTGATTGTTGCAGCTCTCGGAGTTGGAAGAATGAAGGAACGAGGCATATGAAAATGCCAAGATCTACAAGGATAAGGTGAAGAGACTCCATGATGCCCACATTGTTCGAAAGGAGCTTGTACATGGCATGAAAGTCCTTCTCTACAACTCCCGACTTCGTCTATTTCTGGGAAAAGTCATGTCCCGGTGGAGTGGCCCGTACATTATTGATGAGGTGCTGTCTTTTGGGGCCGTTATACTCCAGAATCCAGCCAATGATGAGCTATTTACTGTTAACGGGCAGCGAGTGAAGCCTTATTTCGAGGGAGAGTTCGGGAAGTATCATGTCGAGACCATCGGTCTCAGCGAACCAACGTATCCTTGATTTAGCTGAGCTTCCTTTGTACTTTGTGTATATATATATATATCTTTATATTTATTTCTTTCTTTTTATTCAAAAAAAATAAAAAACATGTCGCGACTCGCGAGATATGTCGCGACTCGCGAGATATGTCGCGAGTCGCGAGTTTCTCGTCTAGATATTGCATAGTTCTCTGTTACTCTCGCGCCTCGCGAGTAAATGTCGCGACTCGCGACTTGCAAAGTTGCGACTCACGAGATTGTCGCGAGTCGCGATTAACCCCACGTTAATATGCATCAGCCTCAATTCGTTTCGCGAGTCGCGAAGTGTGTCGCGACTCGTGACCTGTTTCGCGACCAGGAGTCGCGACTCGCGACCTGTTTTGCGACTTACCTGATGCTTTTAATTAAAAAAAACCCTCGCGACTCGATGTCGCAGCTCGCGACATGTTTCGCGACTTACCTGGAACGATATTAAATAAGGAATTTTTTTCTTTTGCAGGTCAAAAGCACCTCTCACGACCCTTTTCTCTCTCGCGACAGATAGCTATCTGTAGCGCCCCATTTTCTCCGGATTATTTTGAGATTATTATATATTCTATTTTATTCGAGACTATTTAATTCGTACTCGATTAGTATTTGTTTGACTATGTGATAGTAATTGCCTAATTGTTTTAGTGTATTTAATTATTATCGAACCGAATTAAATTCCAAATTAAGTTCCGAACCGAGTATCGAACCGGGTCGGGATTTTAAATTATTCACGCGCTAAGTAACCGAACCACCCGAATCCGACCCAACCCGCGGCCGCATGTGGTTAGCCCAGTCAAAACTGCCGCCCCCTCAAATTCTCGTGCATGTTTGGAAATTAAAACTTAAGTTTGAATTATGTTTTAATTTTGAAACCTCCAAACATAATTAGCCTTTATTTTCCATTATCGCGCATTGATACCGAATTATGGGAGGGCATTTCAGATTTTTTTTGTAACATCTTAAATAGAGACTTCACTCACCTTCTTCACAGTATTCTCACTCTTTTCTCTCCCTCTACTCCTTAGCTTATAATTTCAGAACTTTCCACTCCTTTCTCCTTCCCCTCTCTAGCCATCTGCTGCGTTTATAAAAAAAAAAAATCCAACACCGCATCACCATCGCCATCATTCCTTGCGAGTACCTCCATCATCGTGAGCCTCACCGCTGTTCGCAAGCTCCAGGAGACCACCTCCGAGCAGGCCGTTCGTTACATCTTTTTGTCAAGCTAACGGTCGAGCCGTTCACGAGCCGCCCGGGCCCCATCCGTCCAAAGTTTATCGTCTAGTTTCGAAGTCGATTGTTCAACCCGCTGTCGGGACCGTTTCCCGTCCAATAGCTCAAAGATTCCCGAACACGGGTAACTCCTTTGAATCCTCTCGTTATTACGGTCGTTTTCATATATTTCATGATAGTTATATATGTCATACGTGCTACCGAATTCTCGTTTGAAGTCGGATTTCTTCTTGGGTGTTCTGTTTTTGAATAATGTGAAGGAAAGCAGTACCTTCTCTAAGCCTCAGTTGTAGCAATTTTGTGCTGAAAATGGGGGTTTGTTATGCGTGAATATGCTGTAGTGATTGTGCTTAATTTTAGAGGATAATAACTCAGGTTCATACCTTAAATTTTTTTCAAAAACAGAGCATGTTTTGAGTTTTATCTCCTTGTTAGTTATGTGCTGATTTTTACTTTGTTTTTGTGTCAATCTTATTACCTTGTTAAATTGGTGTGAAATTTGGATAGTATATATTTACACGTGTGTTTAAGTATGGTGAATTGGGTGTTAGTATATGCTGCAAGTTTGAGATTTATGTTTGTTAATTCAATTTAAGGAGTAAAGTTAGAATGTTTAAAGGTTTAATAAGAACTAGAAGGAAGAATTTTATATTGAGATTTGGAATTGATTATTGTTTAGCATGCTGCCACTTTGTTCAATTTTCAGAGGATAAGTGCTATATTTTGTTTGTTTTT